GGCGGGCCGCAGACTTCGCTGGCCCCGGAAGAGGAGACCCAGGCCCGGCTGCTGCCCGCAGGCCCCGGAGAGGAGACCCCGGGGGCCGAGGGCGCCCCGCTGCCCCGCACGGCGCTCTCCGCGCGGCGCTTTGTGGTGCTCCTGATCTTCAGCCTGTACTCGCTGGTGAACGCTTTTCAGTGGATCCAGTACAGCATCATCAGCAACGTCTTCGAGGGCTTCTACGGAGTCCCCTTGCTGCACATCGACTGGCTGTCCATGGTGTACATGCTATTCTACGTGCCCCTCATCTTCCCGGCCACCTGGCTGCTAGACACCAGAGGCCTGCGGCTCACCGCCCTGCTGGGCTCCGGCCTCAACTGCCTGGGCGCCTGGGTCAAGTGCGGCAGCGTGCAGCAGCATCTCTTTTGGGTCACCATGTTGGGCCAGTGCTTGTGCTCTGTGGCCCAGGTGTTCATCTTGGGCTTGCCCTCCCGTATCGCCTCGGTGTGGTTTGGGCCGAAGGAGGTGTCAACAGCTTGTGCCACCGCCGTGCTGGGCAATCAGGTAAGGACTGGAGTGACAGATGAAAGTCGGATCCTTAAAGGACCAGAAAAAGTCACAGGCCATGAGAGGTAGGCATACTTCTATGGATGGACCCTTAGGAGGTATTTGTCTATAAATGAAGGAGAGAAGATGAGTAGTCAAAAGATAGGAGGCAGTTTTGCATTAAAAAGGGTTTTAAATTTCTTTGTAAGGACAGAATTTTTAAAACCATTTTAAAGTGACCACCTTGTCATCTTGCTTTGAAATTTATCTATAAATTAACTATTGGCCTGCGTGTGCCTAACATCATAGAAAACTTGTCAATGCAGTAATGAACTAGACTTGGGTAGGTATTATTTTTGTCACCAGTGTATTCTTTGCATAAGGAAGGTGTTGGATTCTGGGAAGTTTGTTTTTGAGTCATTGTGAGCAGCCCCTTTTTAATTTTATATATTAGCGATCATACAGTGTCTCCTATGTAACAGACGCAACTGCTAAATAAATGTTCTGATAAAGACTTCACAGCATTAATTGGTCCAATTACCAATTTTTAACAGTAAGACAGTGCAAGACAAATCACATGTCAAGATAGTGCACAGATGATGGAATTCATCATAAAAGGGTGGCTTAATTTGCCAAGTCATTAAGAAGCTACCTAGTCTTTCCTAAAACCATAGGTTCAAATTCCAGTAGCTTTACTAGATAGAATGTTGTGTGTGTTGTGTGTGTGCGTGTGTTTTAATTGCAGACCGGTTCTTTTATTGTAACTTAAATTCTGCATATGGAGTCTTATGATACCTTATGTAAATTATATTCAGTGTTCAGTCAGCTTGAAGGGAATCTAGTTAAAACACTGTACACGAAAAACCAACCTCTCTATGCATATGGCTACAAGTAGCTATGTAACAAAAGAACGTTACTTTCTTCAATCTATCACTTGTTTCAAGATCACAGTAAGATTCATTTAAAATGCATGAAAAGACTAACTACATGCTTATCGCTTTATATTCTTTACTCTAAAAGTACAGATGAAAAAATAGCTTGAACTTATAGTAGTGTATTTAAAGTGATTTATGACTGATACTTCAGTTGGTCGCTTCTGCAAGTTTGGATAGGAGCTATTTTCTTAAAGTATTTTACATTTACAAAATTATATTCAAGATTAATACTTCATTGAGCATGACAGAAATATCAACTCCGTATCTATGGATTCTCTATTTTAAGGGTAATAAATGCAAACATTTACACATAGGCAGACTTTCCTCTAACATCCTACATTCTCCTTAGGTGTTCTCATCCCTTAGCTCCAGTAGCTACAGTTACTCATGCCTCTCAAGTTTGCATTTTCAGCCTAGGTTATGTAGTGATCATTCATAATAAAGTTCAGCATTACTGAGCACTCACTAACAGCCTCATGCTAAGTGTTTTACATGCATTGTGTCAATTAGTTTAATATTGTAAGGTAGGAACTATTAATCTCCATATTTTATAGGTAAAGCAACTGAGGCTTGGAGGGATGAAATTATTTTCCAGAGGTCACACAGCTAGTGAGTGGTGACATTCACATTCATGTCTGTCTGGTTTCTGAATCCTAGCTTTTAACTACCCATCTATACTGAGTGCCTTTTAAAACATAGAGCAGACCATTTCATTGCCCTGCTTTGAACTTGTCAATGATTTCCCACAATACTTAAAATAGACTGTAAACTCTCCACACAGGATTAGGAAACCTTATCTACATGTCTTCTTTGGTACATTAAGCAACACTAAACTTGCCCTTGCTTACAGGCATTTGCAGAGAAGCATTCCCTCTGTCTGCAGTGTTCTTCGAACTCTTAGGATCATGTGATTGCATTCTTTTTATCACCCAGCTCTGAGCTTAAATTCATTTTCGATATTATTCAATGGCATTTCTTGGTCCCATTTAGTATTGCCCAGTTACTCTATTACATCATTAACACTTATCACTGTCTCATATGTTTGTTTTCATATTTATATGTTTACATGTTAATTGTTACCTGTTACTCATCTCGCACTCCCACCATTAGATTGTAGTTTTCATGAAAATAGGCACTTGGTCTGAATGTACACAGTTGTATCACTAGCATCTATTACAGTGCCTGACACATTGTAGGCTCTCCATAAAAATATGTTGAATAAATGAATGAGCTTCAGAGTCATGTGAACCAGCTGGATATTTCCACTTGGTTATCTCATAGAAATCTACTGCTGAAAATTTACCTTGTCTGCTGGCTCATTTCTCTTCGCCTCTACCCTCACTGTCTTAGTTTGGCCCACCTGCAGTGCTCGTCTAGAGATTGCTAACTGAGCTCCCTAATCTGCAGCCTGTGCTCTCCCTCTAGTCTCCACATTCATCTGGTATGGTTTTTCTAATGTGCAAATCTGTCCAAGGCACTCCCTTGCCCCCTGCAGTGGCTTCCATTGTCCTCAGGATAAAATTCAAATTCCCTAATATGAGATTTTCTTGATCTGCCTCCTGCCAGCTCTTCAGTTCCATCCCTTTCCACATCCCTCTTCCCCACACACTTACTCTTTCTCTCCTCTGAACCAAACTGTACATACTTATGGTTTCTCACAAGGTCATGTTTTCTCCTTCCTGGCCTTTGTACCTAATGTCCTCTTGGCTTGGAACACTTCTCCTTCACTTGGCTGACTCCACTTTCTCATTGAGATCTTTGTTACTTCAGAGACTTTTCCTAATCCTCAAGTCTATACCAGGTGCTCCTCTTAGCTAGGGTGATCATACGGCCCAGTTTACCTGGGGTAGTCCAGGTGTACACCTGTTGTCTGGCATAATTACTGGTGGAGTGCCCTTCACTCTGAACAGTATTCTGGTTTGGATGATACATTGCATGGTCTTCCCAGTCTCAGCACCTTCTACTCTTCATCACAGTTCTGTATGACCACACTCTCTTGTAATTACTTGTTTAATTGTCTCTATCCAGCCTTTTTTAAGTGAGCAAATGAAATATTTGGTAAATGTTACTATCTCTACCTCAGCCTCCTTGAAACCTTTCTTCGGCCCTTCTTCCCCTCAAAAATCACATCTACCTCCATTTAACGTCCTTCATATTTTAATTTTATTTTTCTTGTTGTGATTATCATTTTCAGCCTTTTTTTTTTTTTTTGAGGTGAAATTCGCATTAAATTAACCAGTTTAGTGTACAATTCAGTGTCATTTAGTACATTCATAATGTTGTACAACACTCACCTCTGTCTGGTTCCAAAACATTTCATCCACCCCCAAAGAAGACCCAAAACCCAGTAAGCAGTCACTCGCTGTTCCCTCCTCCCTCTAGCCCTTGGCAACTGCTAATCTGTTTTCTCTTGCTCTGGATTTGACTCTTCTGGATATTTCATATAAATGGAAGAATACAACATGTGGCCTTTTGTGTCTGGCTTCTTTCACTTCGCATGTTTTCAGAGTCCATCCATGTTGTAGCGCTGTATTAATACTTCATTCTTTTTAATAGCCGAATAATATTTATTGTGTGGCTATATCACATTTTGTTTATCCATTCATTCGTCGATGGATGTTTGGGTTATTTCCACTTTGTGGATATTATAAATAGGGCTACTATGAACATTCACATAAAATTATTTGTTTGAATACCTGTTTTCAGTTTTTTGGATATATACCTAGGAGTGGAATTGCTAGGTCATGTGTTAATTCTATGTTAAACTTTTTTTAAAATGCCAAACTTGTCTGCCGTGGCTGTACCATTTTACAATCCCACCAGCAGTGTATAAAGGTTCCAGTTTCTCCACATTCTTGCCAACATTTGTTACTTTCCATTGTTTTCATTATTGTTATTGTTACAGCCATCCTAGAGGGTGTAAAGTGGTGTCTCATTGTGGATTTGATTTGCATTTCCCTAATGACTAATGATATTGAGCATTTTTTCATATGCGTGTTGGCTATTTGTATATTTTCTTTGGAGAAGTGTCTATTCATGTCCTTTGTCCTTTTAAAATTGGTATGTTTGTCTTTTTGTTGTTGATTTATAAGAGTTCTTTATATACTTATTCTGGAGAGTAGACTTTTTTTTTTTTGGTCCTTTTTGAGACCGGCTGCACCGTGCTCAGCCAGTGAGCGCTGTGAGCACACCGGTCATCCCTATATAGGATCCGAACCCGCGGCGGGAGCGCAGCTGTGCTCCCAGCGCCGCACTCTCCCGGAGAGTAGACTTTTATCAGAAATATAATTTATAAGTTTTTTCTCATTCTATAGGTTGTCTTTTCTCAGCTTTATTTTGCATATTCTTATTTCCCCTTTTGACTTTAAGCATCTAAAGGGCAAGGGCTGTATCTTACAAAACTTTATAACAGCATCGTTCAGAAAGCAGGAACTCAGTATTGGTTATATAGGAAAAAGATTTGTCAGCAATTTTCCTTAACAGTACAATAATAACAAAGATGTTAAAACAGTATTTTAGAGTTTACGAAATACTTTACAAACACTAGCTGTCCTCTTTATGTTCCATTAATTGCCAGTATTTACTTTATTTCTCTAATGACAATAGCTGTTAACAGGACTGTGTATTTTACAGCTTGGAACTGCAGTTGGCTTTTTGCTACCACCAGTTTTAGTGCCCAACACACAGAATAACACAAATCTCCTGGCTTGTAATATCAGCACCATGTTTTATGGAACATCAGCTGTCGCCACACTTTTATTTATTTTAACAGCAATTGGTAAGTGAATTCTTTTCCCTAAAGCTTAGATAAATGCATGACAAAAAAATGAAAATAACTAACCCTGGAAGTTTTCATTGATAATTTCAAGTGCCATTTGCTTGTTGCATTCTTGCTGTGTACTGTCTTGCTCAGGTAAAATGAATGCTACAACCCTAGGGATATGTTATGGTCCACTGCATCTTTTTTAATATTGTAAAGGGTTTGAAGGCTTATTCATCTCATTTATCTCTCTACTAACTTTTCGTCCTGGTAACTGTCGGTTTCATACGTATTACCTACCGCCTCTTCCCATATTTGTGTACATGGTCTGCATCTTACGCCTACCTAGGGAAGAACAAGTTCTTAACATGCTTTGAAATGATGCACATAGGCTACAATCTTTCTTTTAATGATAAATCCTCCCAAGGATCCCCAATTTAACAATTAACTGGATCTGAAAATATTGATCAGTGAATGATCCTGGGCAGCGACAAGCTGTTCAGCAGAATTTCAAACTGTGGCAACTATCTGCTTGTTAGGCCACTCCAGCAAAGCATGGCTGCCACCCTTCGTCACTGAGTCCTCTCGTCTGGGCCTGTCTGTTGAAGCAGTCAGTCACAATCAGCTGCAAGCAGCCATCATCAGTTTGGAAGAAGCTTTGGGAAGGTCTGCTTTTTAAAGTTTATTTTTAATGAGAAACAGTTTTGATTTCAGGGAAAAGGATAAGTAAGATTTATTTAAGTAATATAGCTGCTAAGATAACTGTAATAATGCCCTTTAGGCACTCAGTATATCTTAAAGTTGACAGGCCATCGTTTAACCCTTAAAATGTATAATTAAACTGCATTGTAGCTGGACTTTTAGATTTATGTATTTTTACCATGGCTATCAGTAATGAAAAATTCATATTTTAGGATCTCCAGATATGAAATCCTCAGTTTTCAAAGAAATGTGTGCTGAAGACTTTAGAGTGTTTTGGTAGACACTGCCTTGGTAGATGAACTGCAGGATCCAGGTATAGGAAGCTCAGCCCACTTATTTAATTTCCCTTAAGATAATAAACAAAATGTACTCTTGGTAACATATAAACTATTCTGACATGTCTGATCAACTTATGGTGGGTTTTATGTTTTCTGTTAGGGTGTGCAGACTCCTGAAAAAGGTCAACTTATTCTTGTTCTATTTTAGTAGTTTAACAAAGGTTTAAAAGAAACCTGTATTATTAAAAAAAGAAAAAAGCTCTTAAATCTGCTTTTCTGGTAGCCATATTTGATTTCTAGATGAAGTAGGAAACATTTCTATATATTTGGTATAAATGGACCTTTCATTAATAATAAAGATTTTTAAAGTATAAAATTCTCTTTCCTGGGCCGGCCCGGTGGCGCACTGCTACAGTGCGCTGCTTGGGAGCGCGGTGGCGCTCCCGCCAAGGGTTCAGATCCCACATACAGACTGGTTCCCGCTCACTGGCTGAGCGAGGTACGGGCGCGACACCGAGGGTTGCGATCCCGTTGCCGGTCCTGGTCCGGTACGGGCGCGACACTGAGGGTTGCGATCCGTTGCTGGACACGAAAAAAGACAAAAAAAAGGAAAAAAAAAAAAAATTCTCTTTCCTTTGATTGCTTATATATCTTCACATAAATTCTGTTTTTCCTTTTTTTTAAACGTGTCTTCAATTGCTTGTCTCTTTGGAAGAAATGAGTAATAGATTGTGTATAATGTATCTATAGATATGAAATTATTTATGATATATATGTGTATATATATCTTTAAACTGCTCCAAATGTAAGATTTTTAGTTTTCAAAGGAGGGGGACAAAACGATAACAGATATGACCACTGGTGTATTGCCGTGTATTGTTGCAGAAACTAAAAGATAGAGCTATAGGGCTGGCCAGTTAGCCCAGTTAGGGTGTGGTGCTGATAACTCCGAGGTCCAAGGTTTGATCCCTGTACCAGCCAGCTGCCCGCCCCCAAAAGAAAGAAATCAGTGAATTTAAGTTAGTTAGAGTGTGGTGCTCATAAAAGGTAGAGCTGTTCATATACTTGATTATTTATGTACTCATGGCTTATGGGTAGAAAGTGGAAATAGAAATGGGGGAAAAAGAATGGGGGAAAAATGGAATAGAAAAAAAAGAGCTTATTGTCAAATTTTGCTTAGTGGCATATAATTTTAATCTTATGATACCAAGGATAGTATAAAAGCAAAATAATATACAGTTGTGATATGAAAGTCTTACGTTGAAAATTGTGACATTTAAATGGAAAATTTACTTGTTTTCCTCTTACCCAAATATTTGCTATTGAGCAAAATTTAGATTATTTTAAAAACCCTTACTTAGAATTTTTTAATTACTAAGAGGTAATCCTAATTCCCTCTAAATTCTACCCATAATTACTTTGGAGTGAAATCCACTCAGCATTTCTAAGAATTAACCCAAGCCTTCCAATAAATCGCACATTCATACCCCATTCTTATTGGGAGAACTCTACAACATTTGGTTGCATTTTATGTGCCAAACATGTTTGAAGGCACTCTATTCTGTATCTCATTTAATCCTCACAACCCTGTGAGGAAGGTACTATTATCATCATTCCCATTTTATAGATGAGGAAACTGGGGCACAGAACTTAAGTAAATTTAATTTGCTCAGGGTCACAGTAAGTAAACACTGAAGGTCAGGTTTGAGTCTAGGCAATCTAATTTACATATAAACTGTTGTACATAAAAATATATCATTTAAATTTTTATTTAGCCTTATTTTTTGTTCCAATTCAAACTCTTCCTGTATATGTGGTAATGCTGTGTATTTAAAAACTGTTCTTGTGCAGTGGAGTGGTAAACTAACATTTAACTAAAGTGTATCAATTAAAATCCTTTCCTGATTCACTAAAGCGAGTAGATGACAAACCAAAAGTAATGGCAATAAAAACTTAATATTAAAGCACTTAAACACATGAGTGTATAACATATGTGCACAATTTTTTTTTTTTTTTTGGTCTTTTTGTCTTTTTTCGTGACCGGCAACGGATCGCAACCAACCCTCAGCGGGAGCGCCGCCACGCTTCCCAAGCGGCGCACTGTAGCAGTGTGCCACCGGGCCGGCCCAACATATGTGCACAATTTTTTTTTTTTTTTTGGTCTTTTTGTCTTTTTTCGTGACCGGCAACGGATCGCAACCAACCCTCAGCGGGAGCGCCGCCACGCTTCCCAAGCGGCGCACTGTAGCAGTGTGCCACCGGGCCGGCCCAACATATGTGCACAATTTTTTTTTTTTTTTTGGTCTTTTTGTCTTTTTTCGTGACCGGCAACGGATCGCAACCAACCCTCAGCGGGAGCGCCGCCACGCTTCCCAAGCGGCGCACTGTAGCAGTGTGCCACCGGGCCGGCCCAACATATGTGCACAATTTTACTTTTGATTCTTATATTCAAGATATCTATATGTAGGCTGTAAACTTGTAACAGAAATACATTTTTCTCACTCTAATAATTTCAAGCACCTGAAGCAAAGTCTTTGATCTTTTAGAATAAGTATTCCTCAAAAAGGACAATACATTTTGTGTAGTACTTGATAATTACAAAATTCTTTTACATACGAGTATATTATGTTGCTTACTCCTTGTAACAGCTTGTTACTGTTATTTCTGTTTTGTGGATGAGAAAGCTAAAGTCGAGAGAAAGAATGGACTTCCTCAAAGTCATACGGAGAGATGAGGCAGAGCAAGGATTCAATGTATATTTGTCTTGTAATAAGGTAATGTGCACAATATCTGCTTGAGTACAACAGGGATAAATAATGAAATCAAAAGATAAGGTTATAATCTGATTTCAGAAAGTACAAGTAGCCCTAACCAGCAGTAGATTTGCTGCTTACTCATCATGGGAAGAGAAGTTTCGGTGTGGTGCCCAAGAATCCTTTGGCTGGTTTATGTTCCTAATGCCAGGGGTGGAGAATAACTGCTTCAACAATCAATTATTTTATTGGCACAAGTTTTTGGTGGACAGAAGAGAAGATGGTTGAAGGCTACTCTTTTTCAGTTTCAAAGGAGAAAGAAAAAGCCACATTTCATCCTTTGAATGTAGCAATTCAGCATAAACAAGGTCATAGATAATGGCTCTTTGTTCCTCTTTTTCTTCATATAGACTTAAGTCTGACTGTACTACAGCGTGTAGCTGGTAGATATAGGCTTGATTTTGCCAAAAGATAGTTTGACTAGCTGAAACTAAAGGACAACCCTTGTGTTAAAAAAATAAATCTGGTGTAGTTAAAGACTGCTAAGAATTATTTTCATTTTTGCATTTGGGTTCAGAGTTAGGCCATTTAGACTTATTTTCTTATAGTAAATAAAAACCTAAGTAAAAGACTTAAGAATCACAAAATACCTTTGACTACCTTGAAAGCATAGTTTTTACATTCTGAAACTTGGTTTTACAACTGTTTGAGTTCTGTATTGCCAGTGTTAATGAAAAGAGATGTCTCCTATTTAACTAGGGTACAAGGACACTTTCAGGAAAGGATGACAGACATCCTAACACAGCAAAGATCAGATAGGGGTGAAAGGAGGAGGAAGATTTGCAACAACTTAGACGTTTGATGTCTACCAGACCTCCAATGCAAGGATATCAAAAAGTAAATAATTATGAGTTGTATCTCCTCTTAAATGAGTTGTGAGATCTATGAAAATAGAAGTATGCTTTAGTTTGATAAGTTTTAGTTATATCACAATTAATGTTTTGGTCAGCAAAGAACTTTAATTTTTTTATTTTTAGCAGCAAGCAGGAGAATTAGAGAATTACAGTATTTCGTGGAAGTTTTAAGGGTCATTTCTTCCTTTCCCAGTGATTCTCAAACCTGGCTGACTGTTGTTCACATTTGGGGAGTTTTGTGTTTAATACAGATTTTCAGGTTTTGTCCTGTAAGGTCTGATTCATTGAGACTTGGGTAGAATCTCAAAATCTGTAACCCACTTTCAAACTACAAAGTAGGACTGCCTTCCTGGAAGAAAGAATATCTGATATAACCAAAAAAAAAAAAAAGAGAGAGAGAGAGAGAGTGAGAGAAAGAAAAAGAAATCCTAGTTTTCCAGAAAATATTACTTTTTTCCTTATCTATTTACATTTTTCCTTTTGCATGTACTCTATTTCATTGGTTCCAAGGTATACTTTTTTTTTTTTCATGAAGTCTCTGAATTTGACATGTGTTTAACAATCAATGGCATCTAACATTTGTGGTAATTAAGACATGGTTATGTGAAAACGTTCTATTGATACCTGGCAAGATCATTGAGTGCAAGCATCAGAGTGTTGTAGAGTCAGTGAAATACAACATTTTCATTCTATTGTAGTTAAAACCTTTGAGTCAGTATAACAACTAGATTTTAATTTCTGACCAAATTTTAGTAGTTCAGCTCTTCTGTCAGTTAGTCTTGACTTGTCGTTAGTCTAACCCTACAGAAATTTATCCCCAGCCATCTGTTGTGGGAAGTTGGTAGGTCCTTCCCTACCCAGCAAAAGGGTGGCCTCTAGATGTGTGTCTGAGAAGGCTGTGAAATCTCTAACTGGAAAAAGACAGTGCTAAAACTTACAGTACCAGATACCGTATTCCACTTTTATGTCTCTTAGCTCTACCCCTATCTTTTCCACATGCAGCTTGAGTGAGTCAACAAGAAAGACCTAGCTCTTCCCCCATGAATTCACCCAGACGTTTTCAGTCCCAGCAGTGTACTTGGATCATGTGATAATCTTCATGTCAAATTTCAGAAGAAGATAGTTACTAACTCAAGACAGTCCTCTAAAAGTTCAATAGTATATTGGCATACTCGTATCTGATGTTTACCTCTAATTATAAATTGGACTGATTTTGATAATTGTTGAATACTTGATGTAGTAAAAATTAATCTGGCTTAACTAAAAATGGAGTAGTCAACTGGCAAGGTTGTGGCACGTTATTGATAGTTTTGCAGTTCAGTTATGTGAATTGGCCAAATCTCTGAGTTTCAGACAGTTTCAGAGGACTGAGATGATAGTCTCAAGCTATTCCTCCCTCAGAAATCAGTGAAGATGAAAAACCTCACCATAAAAGATGTTCACTACCTCCTTAAACTTAATCTGGATTCTGTCTGCTCACCAAGAAAGATACATATAATTAATTGTATATTATAATATACATAACAATCTATTCCATATGTATTAATTATATGTAATCCTTTTCATGTATGTTTCCAGCATTCAAAGAAAAACCTCAGTATCCACCAAGTCAGTCTCGAGCAGCTCTTCAAGACAGTCCCCCTGCGGAGTACTCCTATAAGAAGTCAATGAGGAATCTGTTCAGAAACATTCCCTTCATCCTTCTGTTGATCAGTTATGGTAAGTGGTTTTCTTGTATTTCTTTTCATGTCTGTATAAACCTTTGAACATTGTGGATTCTTTTTATTTCACCTAGTGGTTTGAACTTTAATGAGACTGAGTTGTTAACACAATAAAAATAACCATAGCCTAGTCATAAACTTAAATTTTGCACTAAAAGCAAAAAGATACAAGATGGATCTTCTTACATGTTTTCAAAATAAAAAAAAAATAAAGTAATAGATCTCAAACATAAAAGCATTGTCTTCTTTTGTGAGTTCTCAGAGTATTTTAGGTCATTTATGAACTGTTGTTATGACTACTGTAAGCATGTGGGAAATGCTATGAATGATTTCATTTTTTGACCCTGTGCAAACTGGCATCTATTTTGACTACTCAAAACTAGACATGAAGGAGGTCACCTTAACCACTTCTAACTTTTTAAAAAAAATTCTCATTCTCCTAGTTCTTTCAGAATAGTTGACAAATATTCATCTTAACACTGTAGCTTTGACTGCCGGCACCAACACACTTGGTTTTCTTGAGAGTTTTCTGATGTTTTGTTCTCTGTTTCTTGTATTAACACCATTTATATTAGCCACCAGCACTCCTTATTTCTGTCTTAGCTGCCTTCAGAAGTCACTCACCACTATTCTCTTCTTTACATTTTTTGGAGAGTGCACACCCTATTACATAAACATTTTACAAATTATAACAGATAATGCCCTAACCTGAACACTTAGCATTTTACCAGGATTAGTTCCTTTTTTTTTTCTCAATGGGAATTTAATTAATCACAGAAGTAGAACATTTAATCTAACAAACTCCTGTGTACCATCCATTATGTACACATCACCCAGCTTTAACAATTATCGGGCCGGCCCGGTGGCGCACTGCTATAGTGCGCCGCTTGGGAAGTATGGTGGCGCTCCCGCCGAGGGTTCGGATCCCACATACAGACCGGTTCCCGCTCACTGGCTGAGCGAGGCGCGGGAGCAGCACCGAGGGTTGCGATCCCGTTGCCGGTCCCGGTCCGGTACGGGGGCGACACTGAGGGTTGCGATCTGTTGCCGGACACGGAAAAAGACAAAAAAAAAAAAAATTATTGACATTTTGATGTTCTTGCTTTATCTGTTTCCCCTACATTTTTCCTGGAATATTTTAAAGCAAATCTCAGATGTTATATTATCTCATCCTTAAATACTTTAGCATGCCATACTTAATTTTGCTGGTTACCTCACTGTGTAGGTTAAACCTGAAATTTATAACTAGAAAGTAGAGAAAATCAGTGGCTCACTATTTTCTATTAGAACAAATTAATTTCTTCAGCGTGTCATTTAAGGTGGCTTTTTTCTTAACCACTCTTTTATCTCTCACTGTTTCCCAATACAAAACGTGTAACCAACCCCCTATCACAGACAGACAGACACACACACGCACACACACACAGACACATACCTCCATTTGAAATATACACCATTAATTCTAGTCTCTGTAATTTTCTGCCCCTATTTCTTTAACCTGAAGTGTGCTCTTTTGTTCCTTAAGCAATCCTACAAGAGCTAGCTTTATGTTTACCTCATTTATTGTTCATTTTGTTTTTCATTCTTTTATTTGTTTATTCCATTGATAGCTGTCATATACCAACTAAGTATCTAACAGTGCTCTAGATGCTGTGTGGGCTAGAAAGAAGCATGATATATACTTTCTGCCCGTAAGTAATTTATCATCCAATTGGGGAGATAATATAAACATCTGAAAAGTAAGAAACAGTGAAGGATGTACTTATCAAAAAGGTAACAACACAAGAGAAGTTGTGTGGCCATTGCAGGATAGGTGAAGAGGAGGGCCGCGGACGGCAGGCAGAGCATCACCGAAGGTGGGCTTGGAGAATGGGGTGGATTTGGATAGACAGGGGAAGAGGGTAGTGGCATGAGCAGGAGTCTTGGTCCCTTCTCTGAATACTTGGATCTCTATGGAGTTTTTATGTCTTTGATATCATAGAACTTAGTACTTACTTGAATATACATAAATGACTAGGTTAAAATGTGTCTATTTGTTTGGAATTTATAAAGGGTTTTCATACATATTATTTTATTTAACTGTCCAAACCTTTTTCAGTAGAAAGATTATTATTATTTCTATTTTATAAATAAAGAAACTGAGTTCCTGGGGCCGGCCTGGTGGCGCACTGCAGCAGTGCGCCACTTGGGAGAGCGGCGGCGCTCCCGCCGAGGGTTCGGATCCCACATACAGACCGGTTCCCGCTCACTGGCTGAGCGAGGTGTGGGCGCAACACCAAGGGTCGCGATCCCGTTGCCGGTCCCGGTCTGGGTGCGACACTGAGGGTTGCGATCCGTTGCCGGACACGAAAAAAGACAAAAAGGAAAAAAAAAAAAAAGAAACTGAGTTCTTTTTTCTTAATTTTGAATTGTATTTATTTGTACAAATAGATAAGACATGCATAACGTACCAAATTTGAAAGGTGTTGTGGGTGTACAATGAAAAGTTAGTGTCCCCCCAGATTTGTCCCCAGGTCATCCAGTTTCACTCCCCAGAGGCAATCACTGTTATCATCTGCAGCTTATTTGTAAGGCTGGTATAACCTTGATAATCAAAACCAGACAAGGACAGGATAAGAGAAAAATTATAGGTTAATTTTACTTGTGAACCTAGATGTAAAAATCCAAAATAAAATATTGGCAAACCTAACCCAACAATTTATAAAAATGATAATACATCCTGACTGCATTTGGTTTATCTCAGGAATGAGAAATTATTCAGTACTGGAAATTTATGAATATAATTTACCAAAGTAATGAATCAAAGAGGGAAATCAACCTAGTAACTGAGGAAAAAGCATTTGAAAGAATGCAGTACACATGGATTGAGACTCTTAGCAAACTGAAGAAAATTGAACTTTCTGAGCCTGATAAAGTTTATCTATGAAAACCCTATAGCAAACATCTCACTAAAGGCAGAACCTTAGACCCATTCCCCTTCAGAATCAATGATCAGCATCCCTTAAGATAAGGATGCCTGTTGTCACCACTTCTACTCAGCTTCCAACTGCAAGTCCTGGCTGGCTCAGTAATACAAGAAAAATAAAAGGTATATGAAACAAATATAAAAGATGTTATTATTCACGGATAATATGGTTATATATATCAGAAGTCAGCAGCCTATGGCTCACAGGCCAAACCTGGCCATTGTCTGTTTTTATAAATAAAGTTTTGTTTGTTTACTTATTGTCTCTAGCTGCTTTTGAACTACAAGGGCAGAGTTGAGTAGTTGCATCAGAGACTATGTGACCTGCAAAGCTAAAAATATTTACTATCTGGCCTTTTACAGAAAATGTTTGCTGACCCCTTGTCTATTAAAATAATGCAAGAAAACCTAGAGATAGTTATTAAAACTAATAAGAATGAGTTCAGTGAGATTATTAGGTATCTAACAGTGTTAAAATATCAATTGCATTCCTGTGTATTTGTGGGAATTGCATTCCTGTGACAAAATGTTTTTTATAATAGCAACCAGACCTATAAGATATCTTGGAATAAATCTACCAAAAGAACTTCACAGAGAAAATTATAAAACATTGAAAGGCATGAAAGAAGACCTAAATAATTTTGTTTGTTTGTTTTTTAAAGATCACCAGTAGGGGGGTCTTAACCCTTGACTTGGTGTTGTCAGCACCTTGCTCTCCCAAGCAAGCTAACCAGCCATCCCTATATAGGGATCCAAACCCATGGCCTTGGTGTTATCAGCACCACACTTTCCCAAGTGAGCCAGGGGCCAGCCCTCTAAATAATTTAAATAGAGGGATAGACCACATTTACAAAAGAATCAAAATTATAATGATGCCAGTTAACCTTATAGGACCACTGTATTAACAGATGCCCTTTGTAGATTTGAAAAGGCCAGACACAGGTACTGCTTAGGAAATTAAACAAAGTTTACTTGTTGAAGGAATTATGAAGAAGGAGTTGAGAAACAGTGTGGAGGGTTCAGTAGTATTCTTAGTTTGGAGTAGATTTCTTGACCTCATATTCTTCACCAAAGAGGTGCAGAGTTAGGGATCATATGTCTGAGTGAGGGCCACATCACACCTTTTGGATGCACACCTGTGTCCCTCCATGCCTAGTATCATATATAAGATTGGACCATTCCTGCATGTGGGATGGTATGGATGAGGAATAACACTCCTAAAAAAGAAAAATGACAAGACCTCGACTATGAGAGAATGTCTGCAGTGCATATAACTAACAAAGGATTACTATTCAAAAAAAAAAAAAAAAAAAAAAACCTCCTACAAATCAATAAGAAAAGAGCAAATAACACAGGGAAACAAGAAGGTGTTTATGTGTGTGTATTGTTCATATGTGATGCTAAACTTTTCTAGTAACCAAGAAAATGCAAATCAAAACCAGAGTAAGATACAATAGCAGATGCATTCAAATTGGCAAAAAATAAATAATTCAGAATCTGGTGAAAACAAATTTGTTAAGGATGAGGAGCAATAGGAACTATGCTCATAGTATAAATGAATACAGCCACTTTGAAGATCAACTTGGCTATATCCAGAAAGTAGAAATTCTTCTCTTAGATATATTCTTAAAAAAAAACCCTTGTAGGTCAGAACAAAAACATAATATTCATTGCAAAGTTGTTTTAAATAGTAAAAGACTGGAAGAAACCTTAAATGTCTATTGACAGAACAAGAGATAATTAAATTGAAGTATATTCAGACAATGAAATATTATACAATAGAGAAAACTAATGAACTAGAACAAAAAGTATCAACATGAATAAATCCTAGAACTATAGTGTTGAGTGATAAGAGCAAGTCATAGATGGATACAAATATGTTGTTTATATGAAGTTTAAATACATGCAGATTGATTCAAATTGTTTATAGTTATGGTAATGTATAAAATGATAAACAGCAAGATCAAGATAGGGGTTACCTTTGGGAAAGAAGAGAGAAAAATAGGATTGGGAAAAGTCTGAAAAATGAATCTGAAGCAAAGATGGCAAAATGTTAATGTTTGACAAATCTGGATGAGTATGGGTATTTGTTATTTTATTCTCTATACTATTTTGTATGCTTGAAATATTAAATAATAAATAGAGAGAAATGATAAACTTAGGTAAGACGTTTACTTAAATTTATATAGTACATGCAAGGAAACACCAGGGTTCAAACCTAGTTTTATAATTCCTGATAACCAGCTCTTTTTTTCTCTTTTAAAGTATTCTTTAATATTGTCTTATGAATTGCCTTGTAGGTCTTGATACAGGGGTTAGATCTCTGAAGCAGGGGTTCTGTTATGCCTTTAACATTCATTGCTGTAGTACGTTATATGTGCTCAATAAGCAATCCATTGCTAGATTGGTTGCCATATACAGTGTTATATGTGTGGATATGATTTATATTCAGTATATCTGGATCTAAATAATAATAGTGTTATGACGTTTCTATTATATCTCTATAAATGTAGGTGTTAAATTGATCAGTCCACATTCTGAAAGGGAATGGCAATATTTTTTAATTTTCTTTTTCAATTGTGTGAGAAATATATTTTCACAGTTGTCACATAGTATTCCAAGTCACTTCATTAACTGGAAAATGATGGATTTGTAATTTTCTCTTTATTATTGTAGGTATCATGACTGGAGCATTTTATTCAGTGTCAACACTATTAAATCAAATGATATTGAAATATTATGAGGTAAGCTTCTGCTTATATCATGCTGCATGCCTGGCCAAGAATTTTTCTTTAGCAGTATAATTCCTGTTCGCACAATTATAAGGTTAATGATTATGACCTTGTTGCTATAAAATATTTACATTTGTTTTCATTGCGAATAAATTTGTTAAAAAAATTTTCAACAGATTTTGTTTAAACTTCTAATTGGCTTTTATTAGCTCACGAATCAGGCAGCATCCCATCTAAAGATTTAGAAAGGAGTTTGATGAGCTGAGCAGAGGAGGTGGGCGGGTTTTATAGACAGAAAATAGCTGAGGAAAGGAACAAAAAACAGATCGGTTTTTACAAAGTTACTTTCCTTATAAGATTAAAACACAAGGGAGTAGGCACCTTCTGATTGGTTGCTGTGAATCTCCTTTTTTTTTTTTTTGGAAAGCTGGCCCGTTTTAAAGTTGTTTGATTATGTGGCAACTGTCATGAGTGACTCCATTCTGGCTTGGTCTGATCTGTTGGTCCTAGTCCAGAAACTAAGTCCCAAACAATGGTCTCCTCTAAATTTTATTTACAACACATTGATCCAGTTTATAAAATTCACAACGTGGAAAGCAGAAGTTATCACTGTGACAGTACCTAAGTTTTGTTGTTGTTGTTTTTTAAAAGAAATAATGTGATTGGTTATATGGAAAAAGACAAAAAAACTTTTTAAGGGAAATCAGCATAAAGTAGCAAGTATTAAGTTCTAACGGACCCCTCTTTGCCTTTGAAAAAAGAAAGCATTTGTAGTATGTAAAAGCTACAGTGTTAACCTCCTTTTCAAATTTCTGTAAGTTACTTAAGAATCCTAACAAAAATCATTGTACTTCTTACCATAGAGAACTGTGGAAATTTTTCCTTTTTTTCTTTCTTGCATTATTTTAGGCATTTTTCCTGGTTTTAAAATAGAATGCCCTTTGTGTATTGTTACCTGCTCTTCCCCACCCCCACTCCTCAACATAAGTACACCCTATTGTGTGCTTAATTTTATCTGATTATTTCCATTGACTATGAAAAAGTATGGGAATGAGAAGGATAACTTCTTATGCAAATTGTTTTCAGGGAGAAGAAGTGAATGCTGGAAGGATTGGGCTGACACTGGTAGTAGCTGGAATGGTGGGCTCTGTTCTCTGTGGTTTATGGCTGGATTATACCAAAACGTACAAGTAAGTGAGAGTAGATACGTGTGTGGTGTACAGCCAAAGGTATTTTGATTTTAAGGAAAACTGTGTTTTTATTTTAAGGAATTTAAAAAGTGTTATTACTTAAAGACTTGTATTCTAAACACTCATAGGTTCCCTTCACTTAGCTAATGTTTCAAAAGTCTATATATCATATTATTTTACTGGTCATATTTATTTCAACTTTGAAAAGTTGGGTACCATATGAACCTTCTTTCCCTCTAACAATACTCATATGCACTACTTCAGAAGGGATCATTTCTATTCTATGAAGAACAGAATAAAAAATGTTTTCTCAGAAACATTTTCTGGGAAACATTTCAGTTTTGGCAAACTTTATCTTTTTCTTTTCTTTTCTTTCTTTTTTTTTTTTGGCTTTTTCATGACCGGTAAGGGGATAGCAACCCTTGGTGTGGGGTCGCCTGCACCGCGCTCAGCCAGTGAGCGCACTGGCCATTCTTATATAGGATCCGAACCCGCGGCAGTGCGCCACGGGTCGGCCCATCTTTTTCTTTTCTTATGTTGTGGGCTTTAAAACAAGCAAAAGTTTTTTCCTATCAAAAAATTATTGTTTGGGCTGGCCCGGTGGTGCACTGCTACAGTGCGCCGCTTGCGAGCGCGGCGGTGCTCCCGCCGCGGGTTCAGATCCCACATACAGACCGGCCGCTCACTGGCTGAGCGAGGTGCGGGCACAACACCAAGGGTTGCGATCCCGTTGCCGGTCACGAAAAAAGACAAAAAAAAAAGGGAAAAAAAAAATTATTGTTGAGGGCTCTCCCAAGCCAGGGTGGTAGGGGGCTGAGGGCCTCAGCCATGCCCCCCAACAGCTGCATCTAGCCCAGTGGCAATCATCGAGCCACCGCAGGAAGCACCCGGGGTCTCCCAAGTTGGGGTGGTGGGGGACCTTGGGCCTCAGCCACGCCCCCCTGACATGTGTAACCAGCTCAGTGATGACCACCAAGCTGCAGCAAGAAGGGCCCCGGGTTCCCGAGCTGGGGGGCGAGGGCTTTTGTCACACCCCCCTGGCATCTGCACCCAGCCCGGCAATGGCCAAGCCACCGCTGGAAGGCCCCCGGTCTCCTCTGTGGGAATAAGAGGGGTGCCACAGGCCTCAATCCCACCACTCCTCCTTCCTCCTTCTTCCATCCCATTTTCTTCTCCTTTCCTCTCTCTCCCTCCCTCCAAACTGCTCTGCAACAACATCCTAGAATGTAAAAAATAATAAAATTACATTTTCTTTAAAAAAAAAATTTATTGTTGAGCGTAAGATTTTTTTTTTTTTTTTTTTGGTAAAAACTTTTTTCTAAAATGCCCCCAAACTGTACCACTTAACTATAAAATAATGCATAATATGAAAATGCTGCATCAATTTTTCATCTATATGGAACCAACAAAATGCTAATAAAAAAGAAAAAGTGAATGATACCAACTGGGAGACCGAGAAGGGGGTTTCAGAGGCAGCATCTTTTGCTCTGGGTCTTAAAAGAATAGACACATTTTTTAATAGGCCGAAACCTCCCCATCTGCTGGGAGAAATGAATGAATGGCACTAGGAATGAATAAATGAATGGAATGAAATAAACTGAATGAATGAAATATAGAACTTTGTCTTTTGCACCTTTCAAGGCCCAAGACACATTTGATACTATTATTCTAAACTCTTCCAAAAGTATCTCCAGTCTTGAAATTCTCCAAGGTAGTTCTCCCATAATTTAAGACAATACTCACTGTGGCTTCATTATTATGAAATGATAGCTTAGAGTGAAACCCATTCAATTTGTAGGAAAGGAGCATATATAAAGGATTAAATTTCTTAATAGTCTTTTTTTTTTTTAAGATGACCGGTAAGGGGATCTTAACCCTTGACTTGGTGTTGTCAGCACCACGCTCGCTCAGTGAGCGAACCGGCCATCCCTATGTGGGATCCGAACCCGTGGCCTTGGTGTTATCAGCACCGCACTCTCCCGAGTGAGCCACAGGGCCAGCCCTTAATAGTCTTATAAATAATATATATGCTATATATAAGTTATCATAAATATGTAATCATCTATTATATATTTAGAAAACTTGATACTCATAGAAATGTGTTATTACCCTGGCTTCTCAGAGTACTAGCCAGAATAATCAGGCAAGAGAAAGAAATAAAGGGCATCCAGATTAGAGAGGACGAAGTCACACTGTCCTTGTTTCCTGACAACATGATCTTATATATAGAAAAACCTGTAGACTCTACCAAAAAACTCTTATAGCTGATTAACAATTTCAGTAATGTTGCTGGATACAAAATCAACACCCAAAAATCAATAGCATTTTTATACCCCAATAACAAACTAGCAGAAAATGAAATCAGGAGAGCAAGCCCATTTGCAACAGTTGACACACACACAAAAAAAATACCTAGGTATCAATTTAACCAAAGAGGTGAAAGATCTCTGCAATGAGAACTACAAAACATAACTGAAAGAAATTAAAGACACAAAAAGGTGGAAAGACATACTATGCTGTTGGATGGGAAGAGTTAGCATCATGAAAATATCCATTCTGCCCAAAGCAATCTACAGATTCAACACAGTCCCCATCAAAATATGAATGACATTCTTCACAGAAATAGAAAAAGCAACCCTAAATTTATATGCAACAACAAAAGACCCTGAATAGCCAAAGCAATCCTAAGCAAAAACAAAAAAAAGCTGGAGGCATAACACTACCTGACTTCAAATTATATTACACAGTGATTGTAACCAAAACAGTGTGGTACTGGCATAAAAACAGACACTTGGATTAATGGAACAGAATAGAAAACCTGGAATCAACCCACATACTGATCTTTGACAAAGGCAGCAAGAACATACATTGGGGAAAAGACTGCCTCTTCAATAAATGGTGCTGGGGAAAATTGGATATCCATATGCAGAAAAAATGAAACTGGACCTGTACCTCTCACCATATACCAAAATCAACTCAAAATGGATTACAGACTTAAATACGAGACCTGAAACCATAAATTTACTAAAGGAAAACATAGGGGAAACACTCCGGGTAGTAGGACTAGGCAAAGACTTTATGAATAAGACCCCAAAAGCACAAGCAACAAAAGAAAAAACAAATGGGATTTTATCAAACTAAAAAGCTCCTGCACAGCAAAGGAAACAATCAACAGAGTGGAAAGACAACCTACAGAATGGGAGAAAATATTTGCAAACTATGCATCTGACAAGGTATTAATATCCAGAATATACAAAGAACTCAAACAACTGCACAGTAAAAAAACAAATAATCCAATTAAAAAATGGGCAAAGGAGATGAATACTTTTCAAAGGAAGACATACACATGGCCATCAGGTACATGAAAAAATGTTCAGCATCACTAGTCATTAGAGAAGTGCAAATCAAAACCACATTGAGATACTATCTCACCCCAGTTAGACTGGCTATTATTAAAAAGACCTGGAGGGCCGGCCCGGTGGCGCACTGGATAGTGCGCCGCTTGGGAAGCGCAGCGGCGCTCCCGCCCGAGGGTTCGGATCCCACATACAGACCGGTTCCCGCTCACTGGCTGAGCGAGGCGCGGGAGCAACGCTGAGGGTTGCGATCCCATTGCCGGTCCCCGGTCCGGTACGGGGGCAACACTGAGGGTTGCGATCCGTTGCTGGACACGGAAAAAGACAAAAAAAAAAAAAAAAGACCCGGAATAACAAATGCTGGTGAGGATCCAGGGAAAGGAGAACTCTTCTACACTGTTGGTGGGACTGTAAATTAGTACAGCCATTATGGAAAATAGTATGGAGGTTTCTCAAACAACTACAGATAGAGCTACCATATGATCCATCAATCCCACTACTTGATATATATCCAAAGGAAAGGAATTCATCATGTTGAAGGGATACCTGACTTCCATGTTCATTGCAGCTCTATTTACGATAGCCCAAGTATGGACCAACCTAAGTGTCCATTGGCAGGCAACTGGATAAAGAAAATGTATATATACATGGTGGAATACTACTCAGCCATAGGAAAGAATGAAATTCTGCCATTTGCAGCAATATGGAGAAGTCTGGAGAAAATTATGTTAAGTGAACCAAGCCAGACAAAAGAAACAAATACCACATGTTCTCACTCATAACTGGCTCCTAGAAAGGAAGGAAGGAAAGAAAGAAAAAGACCACAACAATAAGTTGAACTTTCAGAAGGAGAGCACAAACCTAAGGATACTAGAGATGGAGGAAAGGAGGGCAGGGGTTTGGGAAGTGATAGGTCCAGTAAAGGGAAAAAAGAAAAAAAAAAATGTTATTACCCTGGCTTCTCAGTGTAACTGTCATTCGTTCACTGGACTCCTGTTGTGTGCATTCCTTTTAGTTAGGACTATGGCAAGCAATATGTGATCCCTGTCCATAAGACATTTGTGGTCTAAATGGGGAAAATAAGGCATTCACATATGGAAAGTTCAATAATATTTCAAACTAAAATAGGTTTGTCATAAGTTTAATAGAAGTCAAGTGCCAATTACGTAGAGAGTAAATGATAAGAGACTTTGGAAGAAAGAGAGAATCTTCAGAGCTGCAGTGGTTTGTGAAGACATTTGGAAGAGATGAAGTTTGATCTGAATCTTGAAATATGAACAGGGAACTATCCCATTTGGTGGCATAAAAATGATTTTATCCATGAATATCCCTTCTTTGAGTATTGGATATAGTGTGGGTTTTGTTGTCTGCTGCTGTTGAATCTTAAATTTAAGCTTTAAAGTCCATGCTTTGGTAGATACATTTTCCATAGTCAAGAAGATGGGGTAGATTTTGAAAAACAAAGATTTATTACTGCACAGAGAGAGTAATGGTTAGCCACATGATTTCTATGTGCGTAGGAGAATCAATAAAAATACTAACAATTTTGTTGTTTTTCCTTTAGACAGACTACTCTGATCGTTTACATTTTGTCTTTTATTGGAATGCTTATATTTACGTTCACGTTGAACCTTGGATACATTATTATCGTGTTTGTTACTGGAGGAGTGCTTGGGTAAATATGATATGTGTGTAGGGGGAATGATAGCATGCTGTTGTAATTCTGAAGTGTTACTCTGTTTTTTAATTTTTCAAGTTCATCAAAAGTTTCTTTAATATTTTAAATTTTAAAGAATCCACTCTGTGTATATAAATGTGTAATTCTTAAGAACTACAAAAATAGGTTTAGAATTGTTTTTTGGTAAAAATGGTTGATCCTTACTTAATCCAAGTAACTTTACTTGGTTTACAAAGACAATTGGCTTGGAAAACTAGAAGTAAATTTTTCTTAAGACAAAACTTAGGAATTATTTTGCTTCCCTGTTCTTGTGACCCTGGGCTGATTGGTCACTAGTAATAGTTCCTTGCTTTTACATAGCAACTTAAAAATATTAACTTGTTTGATCATTAGAATAGACCTGAGAGGTAGAATGATTGTATCAATATGTGGTATTGTCCTTTGATAATTCTTTCTTTAATTCTGGATTTATTTTCCTAGTTTTTTCATGACTGGTTATCTCCCCTTGGGTTTTGAATTTGCTGTTGAAATTACTTACCCTGAATCTGAAGGCACTTCATCTGGTCTTCTTAATGCTTCTGCACAGGTAAACCTCTGATTTCTTTTAAACCTGAGATGATTATTTTACCAAACATTCGAATGAATAATGAGTTTGACCATGGTTTTTGTTTTAACAGTTTCATTTTTCAATAAATATTTCCAGAAGCCAAATTATACGAGCAAAATTAATTAAGAAAAGTTCTGGGGAAAACTTTGTACTTGTTTTAAAGAAGCAAACATAAAAATTATTCCTCTTATTTCATTTTAGATATTTGGAATTTTGTTCACATTGGCTCAAGGGAAGCTCACATCAGACTATGACCCTAGGGTTGGGAACATTTTCCTCTGTGTTTGGATGTTAATAGGCATCATTTTAACAGGTAAATTAGGGCATTTTCCTGTCGAAAGTGCTTATGTCATGTTGTCTTTATATTTAATTTTCACGTATGTTGCTTTTTAATGGCTTGACAGAACGCAAGGAGAAAAAAATGAGGTAAAAAGCAGAACACTGTTTTCTTCTAAGAATATATATCTGTTAATTCATTTTGCAAGTTTCAAATTCAGTACAATCATTCTACATAGAAAGCAAAATCATTGTAACAAGAGTAATGGAGACCTAGAGTTGGGTGGACCTGGCCTCACATTCTAATTCTGCTGCTCACTAGCCGTGTGACTTTAGACAAGTTACTGAACCTCTCAAGTGCTCATTTCCTCCTTTACACAATAGGATATTAAAAACCTGCTTTATAGGATTACTGTGAGAATTAACTGAGGTAGTTCATGAAAAGCCTCTAGTATAGTGTCTGGCACCTAGGATGTACCTAGTACATGTCAGCTATTATTATAATATGGTAGAGGTGGTAAGAAGTCAAATGGTGGTGCTGGAAATAGCTGTGGAATGGTTAGCTAGTTCTTACACTTCTTAGGTGTAGTCAGAATTGACCTGGGCAGGAGAGAGAATAGTGCCCAATCTCCAGAGAAAGAAAATATGCAAAAACTCTTATCCATAGTTTGTCCCATGCACACAGTGTAACAATGGATTTGGAAGCAAGACTTAACATTCAGTGGTTTTTCCAAGCCCATGCTTCCTTCTGCTGTCATTTCACTTTGTGAATTTCTTTCTGCATCCCTTTACCAACATGAGAGACAGAAACTATGGACACTTAAGGAGGGACTGTTTATTTAATCTGGTTATAACTTAATTCGAGGATAGAATTTATGAGAAAGATGCCTGAATCAAAGCTTCTTCTTATGTTTGTTGAATACCAGATCATTCTTTTTGAAACTTTCAATATGAAATCTTAAAAGTGATAAACATTTATTTTGGACAGTTGTTCATTATGCTCAAAGAAAGTGAATGTACCATTTCCTCAAAGAAAAACATCCTATCACAAGGGAGTTTTTCCCCCTATTTTCTTCAGTTAGTGAAATAAAACATACAAAACTAAAATATATAACACATTGACTGCTTTACCTACTGATCTTTCATAAGAAACTCCATGTTGGTTCTTAATTTCCAGGCAAGTACTGTCTGTCTATCACGTAGAATGTTGTTGCTGCTCCAACAAAGGGAGCTCTTTCACACTCCCTATTCACGTTGTTTTTACATGAGATTCATGAATGTTAATTCAAGCAAATCAGGTCTAGGAAATTAATTAAGAAGAGAAAAAGATCTTTAAAGTTAGTTTTACTTCGATGCCTTTACCATCTAAAAGTGCTAATTAATTTCTCTCATATGTTGAGTATTTTAGCGGAGAGAGCTAAGTGAGTTTTTCTAGACTGTTGGTATCAATAATGGAGCAGAATAATAAGAGGCACTGTGGATTTCAAAGGAAACATTAGACTTCCAGTTTCTGGTCCAGCATGTAAGAAACTTGGACTTGCCACTCCAAGTTAACAACAAGTAAAAAGCTGAACAAACTGAAAAATCAGCAGCTCTTCTTAGGTTTGTAAGAGAAGTGAGGTCACAGGGCAAACAACTGCCTCCAAAATTGGAGATACCAAGAGGAGAGTACAGAGAAACACAACTTACTGGAACAGAAACAGGTGCTGAATGAAACTTCTGTGGGAACCAGTGCTAGGGTAGGAAACCTGAACTGTAATTGATAATTGCCAGAGGCTCAGTGTGAACAGCTCTGAGAAATAAAACTCCAGGGAGACCCAGTCATGAGGCCCTCACACTTTTGTGAATTTTACCTCCTGCTTCTGTCAGGAGGGGAAAAGGAACCATTTTGAAACATACCAGAACATTCTGTTCTCCTTGACAAGGTTTACCCTCAGGAGAAACTATTTTTCCATTGTCTAATCTGCTGAGGATTTATTAGAGCTTAACTGACCTGGGAGAATGGAAATACCCAACTACAGCCCCTCTAACCATCCTGTCCACCTGAGAAGGGGGCAGGACTGAGAAGCACATGTGAAGTTCATACTCTACAGGCACAGGATCACCAAAAGTTATAATCTTAGGACTGTACAGTGCTTCCCCTCTCCCCATACCTTACCACCACATTACTAAAGGCCTATTTAGAGCAGTTTCTTTTGCCTGGTGCATCATGTCTGTCTGTCAAGAAAAAAGTATATGAAAAGCCAAAAAAAAAAATACAGTTTGAAGAGACAGAGCAAATGTCAGAAGCAGACATGACAAGGGTGCTGGAGTTAGACTGGGAATGTAAAACAACTATGGTTTATATGCTAAGGGCTTTAATGGATAAAATAGACAGCTTGCAGGAACAGATGGGCAATGTAAGCAGAGACATGGAAATTCTAAGAACAAACCAAAGAGAAATGCTACAGATCAAAAATGATCTAACAAAAATGAGGAATGCCTTTGATGGGCTCATTAGTAGACTGGACATGGCTGAAGAAAGAATCTGGACTTGAGGATATGTCAATAGAAATCTCCAGAACAGAAAAGCGAAGAGAAAAAAGACTTAAAAAACAGAGCAGAATATCCAAGAACTGTGGCACAACTACAAAAGGTGGAACATACATGTAATGGGAATACCAGAAGGAGAAGAAAGAGAAAAAGGGACAGAAGAAATGCTTAAGACAAAAGTGACAGAATTTTCCCAAATTATCGTCAGATACCAAACAATAGATCCAGGAAGCTCAGAACACAAAACAGGATAAATGCCAAAAAACTACACCTAGGCATATCATATTCAAAACTGCAGAAGATCAAAGATGAAGGGGAAAAAATCCTGAAAGAAGCCAGAGGGAAAAAATTCTTACCTATAGACAAGCATAGGTAAGAATTACATCCAGATCATATTCAAAACTGCAGAAGATCAAAGATGAAGGGGAAAAAATCCTGAAAGAAGCCAGAGAGAAAAAATTCTTACCTATAGACAAGCATAGGTAAGAATTACATCCAGCTACTTCTCAGAAGCCTTGCAGACAAGAGAGTGGAGTGAAATATTTAAAGTGTTGAGAGAAAAAACCCACCAACCCAGAATGCTATGCTCTGCAAAATTATCCTTCAAAGTGAAGGTGAAATACTTTCTCAGACAAACAAAAATTGAGGAAATTTGTTGTCAGTAGACCTGCCTTGCAAGAAATGTTAAAAGTAAGTTCTTTAGTGGGCCGAGCCCGTGGCGCACTCGGGAGAGTGCAGCGCTGGGAGTGCAGCAGCGCTCCCGCCGCGGGTTCGGATCCTATACAGAGATGGCTGGTGCGCTCACTGGCTGAGCGTGGTGCGGCTGGGCTCAAAAAAGGACAAAAAAAAAAAAAAAAAAGAAGTTCTTTAGAGAGAAGGAAAACCATATAGGCCAGAAACTCAGATCTACATAAAGAAAGGAAGAGCATTGGGGAAGGAATAAGTGAAGGTAGTAGAATAAAAACTTATTTTTTTCAATTCATAATTGATTTAACAGATAACTTCAGAATAATAGCAAAAATATATTCTCATATATATGTGTACTCATGTGTGCTTACATGTGAGTGAGATGAATGACAGCAATGACTACAAGAGACAGGTGGGAGGAGTTAGGGTTATTTTGATATTATAAGGTACATTGACAATGAAGTGTTGTTTGAAAGTGGACTTGGATTAGTTGTAAATGTATATTGCAAACTCTAGGGCAACCACTAAGAAAAGTAAAAAAGAAATTGATATGCTAAGAAAAGAAAGAAAATGGAATCATACAAAATGCTCAATTAGAGCCATAAAAAGCAGAAAAAGAGTGGAAGACAAAAATAGGAACTACAAAAGGGCAACAAATAGAAAACAGTTGCCAATATGGCAGATGTTTATCCAACCATATCAGTAATCACTTTGAACACCAGTGGTCTAAATGCATCATTTAAAAGACAGAGATTGTCAGAGTGGATCGAGAAACAAGACCAAGCTTGTCTACAAGAAACCCACTTTAATATGAACACACGGCCTGATCAGGATAGTGGCTAGGGCGCTGGTGGAGAGACAAGTGGATCATAGCAGATCCTGCACTCCAGCCTTTCTCAACCAGGATTTGCTTTCTGCTTGCCCTGGGCTGAAGTTCCCATGATGGAGTTATCTGAGGAGGAGAAAATCTGTTCTGGGTGAACCCAGGGAGCCCTGGATGTGTGATGGCTGAGGAGCAGGCACTGGGGACCAGATTGAGGTTGGGTTACAAACCAAGCTACTGGATTCTCCTACTTAAGAGCTTTGAGTGCTTAACAGTGAAAAAGGCATAATCTGCATTAACATCTCACAGCTTGAAGGCATGACAGTTAAGGAACTCACATTGATGCACATGGAAATGTGTGCACAGAAAAAGCAAATCCATAATTCTTTAAAAGTAGGAAGGCATTCCTTGACAAAATGGGTACGTTCTGCTCAATTATCAAGTTTGAAAATCTTCAAGAATTAAAAAGATTGTGTCACTGGGGTCCCATCATAGCCCTTGGTGTTAGTTATAGCAATACATTCTATGATGGCCACGATACAACTCTGTGTTGTGGAAGTGATACAACTGGAGGAAGTGTGAATGTAATCATGTTGATAAATTGGACTGTCCTGATTCTTTATAATTCCTTCAATGCCATATTTGTTGGTCCTGGCTTTGTTCCTCTGTGGTGGAAACCAGAAAATTCTCAGGATAGCATGTTGTCTACAGTATTGTAAAGTCTGCCAAGCCTACAAGGCACCACATTCACATCACTGCAGAAAGTGTAACAGATTGGTTACCAGAATCATGCTTCAGTCACACTGTTTCTCCTTTTAGCACCACTGGATTGTATCCATGACTGTTACAATGATTGTGTACAGAGAGCTTTACAATCTGCTCTTCTTTGCGTGGAACACGGTAAGGATGGATGGATATGAGTGCAGGCTGGAGACATGCCCTTCCAATTGTTCCGCTCAGATGAGCTGCATTTGCTGCTGCCTTGTTTGTCTTGG